CCCTTGCCCCGCTCAGAAGAAAAGTTGTCGACCGTTTTTGCTTCTTACAATGAATACCATCCAACACTCTAATTCCTCCACCGATAATCGTTCTTCAGACGGGAGAAAGCAGAGTCCCCCTGCTTTTCTTGACCTCGCAGACTCGGTGAGCACACCCTCGCCACTAGTTTTCAGTCCGCCTCATTCGTGGTTCAATGTAGGCTGCGAGACTGGGTACTAACATGCCGGACATTTCTGCGGTGAGTTACGGGCTGGAAAGGTATTTCTTGCTAAGTTCCGCGGCTGATCTCCTTTGAAGCGCGTCGAGCTTAAGCGCTTAGAACACGAACGCCAACGGCTCCTCCAGAGGAAGATGTTCGAGGACCAGATGCGTGCCCTTGAACACCAGCAGCAGCAAGAGCTTCTCAGCATTCCATATGACCCAAACAATGCGGCTCAGCACCTGGCTGTTTCGGCTCCAACTACGCCCCCGCGGGTCAACGCTGTTCTTAACGGCGACAATTTTGTGAGGTCCGCCCTCTCCCACTCTTCTGTGGATGCGGAGATCCTGTCCAAGGCCGTTGGTTCCGCCGTCGCCGACAAGAGGAAATCTGTGACATACGCTCCTTCCGTCGATCGTTCTCCCGAACTTGCACCTAACCATGGCATGAACGGTCACCGTGGCCGCGCTGCAGGAGCTAAAAGCATGCCTGCTAGCCGCCGTACATCCGCTAGCAGCCACGACGAAGAACTTGCCGGCCATCTCCAAGGTCTCTCCTTGGCTGGAGAGCGACCAACCAGGGGTTCGCCGAGCCCTGGAGCTATGGGGCATTCGATGTCAAGAGGAAGGTACGGCGAGGACGAGCGCAGCCGCGTTGGGCAACAGTACAACGTAGGAATGATGCTTGACGAGCAACTCGACCAAGAGATGCATAGTAAGACGCAATCTTTGTATTTAGCCATCAGTTACTGATGGCCTTCCCAAAGATGCTATGAGGAACCTGCCAACATCAGACGATGACAAGTACAGCTCGGCCTACAACAAGGTGATAGCGATGGCTGGCTGTTACTAGCATCATTCACTCACAATATCATTTTTAGATCACAACGTCTTCCGCTGCGTTAGATCTCGCACATCTGTCGCAGACGTCGCCCCGTAATTCCTTCTCGGGTCGAGGTGAGAAATCTTCGGAGTGGCCTCAGTTCTCTGGCAACCCCCGAGGCCCTGAAGGCCTGAGCTCTCGCAACGAGAGGCGCACTGTCACCAACCCGACGCTAACCCTCACATCGTCGCCAGTTGATTTGGCGAGCAAACTGAGCGGCGGAGCAGTCTCGGCCACATCGACACCCCATGTTGGTCAGCACTCGCAGATGTCACTGTCGTCGAACTCTCAGGCGCCATCTTCACGTCGAGGCTCGCCGTCGGGTATGATTGAAGGCCTGTCAACGACAACTCGTTCCGTTCCTGCTACTCCGCTTTCCATTAACAACGGTGCTGGCACACACTTGCTGCAGACTCCGGGAACGCCTCTCACACCGGAATCGCATAGTCTGAGCGGCCGCCTGTCGTCTCAGGGTCATCAACTTAATGACGATGGCAAGAGCGAGATACAGCCGTCGTTGTCCCGTTTGTCTTCTGGGCAGTATGACGACGCATCGCTATCATTTGAGGTATATCTTTTATGTTGATGGGCGCGCTACTTCACCAAACTCATGCGATCTTTTGCAGCAATACGGCGTCGAGTCTGTGTATGGTCTTAATAACTCTCTTGACAACGGCAGTTATAACTCGTACGGCTTTGAAACCAACGGTCGCGCCAACCCCGTCGCTAACGGTACAAGTGGCTCGACGGCACTCTACCATCACAATGGGTCTCGGTATGGTTTGGCTCTTGGGCGCGGAAACGGCGCAGATGGTAAGATGAATGGCCTTCATGGTCCCAAGCACAAACGAGGTGACATGGATCGTGAGTGTGAGTTCTTACTCGCCCTACATTCACTGTGGCTAAATTTCCAGTAGTCAACCGTTTTGCGGGCACGCGGTTGGAAGATCTGCAGGGTGAAATCCCGGCGTTGTGCAAGGACCAGCATGGTTGTCGGTATTTACAGAAGAAGCTCGAGGAAGGTGTTCCAGAGCACCGTGATATGATTTTCCGTGAAACGTTTGGTCATTTCGCGGATTTGATGACGGGTGGGCTTAATTTCCCCGCATTACCGCTCATCCTAATTTTTCAATTGCAGACCCCTTTGGCAACTATCTCTGCCAGAAGCTCCTCGAGTTTTCCACTGACGAACAACGCAATGTCATATGCGAGTCGGTTGCTCAAGATCTCGTGAACATCTCACTCAACATGCATGGCACACGCGCGGTTCAGAAAATGATAGACTTCCTGTCTACTCGACGCCAGGCAAGTCTAATCCAAGTTTTATTTCTTCTTCCACACTTACGGGGAATGAATCCAGACTGATCTTAGATACAATACTCAGATCCACTCTATCATTGTTGCGCTCAGCCTTCATGTTGTAGTGCTCATCAAGGATTTAAACGGCAACCACGTCATTCAAAAGTGTCTCAACAAGCTGGCGCCAGAGGACAATCAGGTAAACATAAATCAGCTCGGTTTTCATGGTTATACTGACCGATTTCTACAGTTCATATATAACGCTGTTGCTGCCAACTGCGTCGAGGTTGCCACCCACCGTCATGGATGCTGCGTTTTGCAGCGGTGCATAGATCACGCCTCAGACCACCAGCGCGTTCAACTCGTCAACGAAATCACCTACAACGCTCTTACACTCGTTCAAGACCCCTATGGCAACTATGTGAATGCCCATCTACCAATGGATTGATTGGTTACTAATTCATTTTACTAGGTCGTGCAATATATTTTGGATCTTAATGACAACCGCTTCAGTGATGGTGTCATTCGTCAATTTACTGGAAATGTATGCGCTCTCTCTGTTCAGAAATTTAGCTCCAATGTCATTGAAAAAGTATGTGACCTTCCGCAAACCGTGTTTCTGTGCTGATTCGACGTTCTCGCTAGTGTATACGCGTCGCTGAACACAGCACAAGGAAAATGCTCATTGAGGAGCTTCTCAACCGCACTCGCTTGGAGAAACTTCTACGTGATTCATACGGCAATTACTGCGTTCAGGTGAGTTGCGTGCCAGCGCAAATGTTATCTTGACCCTGGAACACGCCGCAGACCGCATTGGACTATGCCGAGCCCGCCCAGCGTGCACTCTTGGTTGAAGGCATTCGCCCCGTTCTTCCCTTGATTCGTAACACGCCCTATGGCAAGCGGATCCAAAACAAGCTTCAGCGCGAACAAATGGACGGCTTCGGAGGCTATCAAGGTCCGCAGGCAATGGTTAATATGGCCGCTCTCGGGAACCAGGGCATGGTTGGTCATACCCATGGTCACCACTCTCCAGGTCGTCATATACCCCAGGGCATGCATGCGAGCAGCCCAATGGCGGAAATGTATGGTGCTCAAGGCGGTATCTACGGCATGCAAGGTCAAGGTTCTTATGGTCATTCTCATATGGCCCCACAACTTCACCACGCGCGCTCGATCGATGGATACGTTCTCCAAGGCGGCTCTCCCCATAACGCCAGCCTTACACCTCCCCACGGCGGCGCCTATTCTGGTGTCTCTGCGTACGCCAACGTGAGCCCCTTCGGCAATGTTGGCATGGCTGCGGCATTGAATGACCCCTACCAGACGTATGGCTACGGGATGTAAGATCTATCGTGCAGTGTCTAAGCTGCCTCCCATCATCGTCCTTTCCGCCAACTTCGCTCTTTAATGCCCTATTTCTATGTATATTCTATGCCATTGCGCTCGACGACCGATACCTCTCCATGCGCGTCGACCAACCTGTCATCACCGTCCTGGAGATTCACTACTTCGGGCTTCGACCGACCTCTATCATACCATCGCGCATTTGTACTTGGCACCCGGCATATTCACCCATTGCTATTTCTTTTGCTTTCTGAACATTCTTTCTATTTGCCACACCTGTATAGCCCTAATCTTTTCGTCATCTAAAGCAATGTCTGTTTAATGGCTAAACCGTCGCAGCACTATCTTCTGTACTTATTGTTCAAACAGTCCAATCCATGACGTCGTTGCTCGAATATGTGGTCTTCCTCCCAAGCTGAACGTTGAACACTGAATAAACGAGGATATGGGTGGCCCAGATGTGTACCAGTGTCTGACACGGCATGTTGATCGAACATAAAGCCAAAGCTTTCCGTAGCACCAGTCATGGAGAGAACCCACGGAAGTATCGTAGCACGGCTGTGGACGGTCAAGGCGCCTCAATCATGCTGATATGTATTTTGATGCAGGTCTTGTTGCACATAACAGCATAGACATACAAGACATTGGTGGGATGCTAAACGAGACAGCGTGACGAGATGACGATAAAGGGATGCGACATGACCAAAGGTTCACCGATTCTGAAGCTATATGAGAAGGCCATCCTTGGAAAAGCCAACCAGAACGCACCTTGGTGAAGCCAATAGCGGCCGACTTTTCACGGAAACATTGACGACAAAGGTCAAGACCGTATTTGCGGATCAGACCAGCCTGGTGCGCGCAGAGGCGGCTACATGTTCGTCGAAATCAGCACATGCTAATCAATGAACCGCACCGTCCCGGGATGCAATACCAGACGAGGGGGACACTCACCATTGACGGCTACCCTTTCCGTACTTTCTTGGGCGAGAGAACCAAACGGCGTCGTGGGTCATTCTGACTTTTCTTGAGGCTGGGAAATGGGTGTATCTTCAGCCAAGACCATACACCATTGAATCCTAGCTTTACCTTTGCCGGGGCTGTTGCTTGCGGTGGGGACGCTGCTCAGAAACTCACCCAACGCAGTGTCGCCTTTGGAAAACTGTATAGTGGCTGAAATAAGGTTCTCTTGCGACCTCAAATCCGGTCACTGCCGGTTCGGCTTGAAACATGTGCGATGCTAGTTATCAGGGTATTTTCAGGCGCTCATATGTCGCCCGCCTAGCTCAATCGGATAGAGCGTCAGACTCTTAGGCGGGTTCAACTCCTCAACTGTGATCTGAAGGCTGCGAGTTCGACCCTCGCGGTGGGCTATGAGTTTTTGTATATTTTCCTCGAATAACCATAATATCAACAGGCAATATATGTCTTTGATTCCGAATTTTTTCTCTTTCGCGCACGTGATGTTTACCTTTGTGGTGGGACCCATAAGCGCGGAGTTGGATCAACCAAACAAGAGCAACTAACCTATTTCCTGTTTTGGAATGTTGACGCCCTCGGTTAATGTTCTCCACGAGTTTGTCGCCTTCTCACATCCCCACTTTCTGCCCGCTTCTTCCTTCTCTTAAAATACCGTTTTGCGATAACTTCGTGCCCACATTCCCTCTCGTTAACTTTCCATTTCAATCCTCATCGTGATCCGCCATGCTCAAGGCATCAAGCCTCGCAGCTGGGCTCGCAGTCGCGGGCATCCTTCTTTCCGGCGTAGACGCCATTTCCAAGGTCACTCGCTCAGGAAGATACCTTTACACTGCGGATGGTAACAGGTTCTATATCAAAGGTGTCGCATACCAAGAGCAAGGTGCGTGCGTCGGAATCTGCGCTCGGCGAGCCTCCTGACTGTTGACTAGGTAACGTGGTTGCCGATCCGAATAATCCTTTCCTCGAGCCCTCGACCTTCATCGACCCTCTGGCCAACGGAACTGCATGCCAGCGTGATCTTCCGTATCTCCAGCAACTTGGCGTCAATGCCATTCGAGCTTACAGCGTGAACTCGTCCTTGAACCATGACTCTTGCATGCAAATGTTCAGCAACGCCGGGATTTATGCGATGTGAGCTCCCTTTCGGTTTAGCTCATCACCTCCTTGACCGAGGGACATCCTTCCAGTATCGATCTTTCCCTGCCCGTCAATGGGTCTCTTGACCGTGACTCACCATCGTGGACCACGAACCTTCTCGATCTCTATATTGAGACCATCGATGCATTCTCAAAATACGACAATGTATTGGCTTACAACGTTGGGAATGAAGTCGTCATCGCGCCTAATGGGACATACGCCGCTGCCTATGTAAAAGCTGCCGCTCGTGACGTCAAAGCATACTTGTGAGTAACTCCTCAGTTACGCCGCCGGCACTCTCACAGGATATACTTTATCCCTATCTACAATAGGAACTCAAAGTCGTCTTCCGCTCTAGTTGGCTATGCATCCATCGATGGAGATGCCTCCTGGCTTGACCCACTTGCGAACTACCTCTCTTGCGATCCCTCGGGCTCCAATTCTGGCGCCACCGCTATCGATCTTTACGGATTAAACAACTAGTACGTACCAACCGCAACCTACTCACGCAGTAACAGGCTGACAATTTTTCAGCCAATGGTGTGGCGACTCTACCTTTGAAGCATCGTACGCCGACGTCGAAGGCCAATTCGCGGGCTACAATGTTGCCGCCTACTTCAGCGAATTTGGGTGCATCACATCTCCCCCTCGTCTCTTTACCGAAGTTGGCGCTCTCTTGAGCTCTCAGATGTCACCCGTCTGGTCTGGAGGTGTCGCATTCTCCTATTTCCCCGCCGAAAGTGCTCAGGGTCAATTTGGAATGGTGACCATCTCTCCCGATGGCAGCACAGTTACCGTTAGCAGTGACTTCACCAACTTGAAGACCCAGTACGGTGAAGCTGCGCCTCCCAACACACCTAGTCAGGGTTCTGCTGGCTCTGCAACCTACCCTGCATGCCCTCAACAGAACTCCTCCTTCATCGCATCGTCAACTTTGCCACCTACTCCTAACCTTGCGGCGTGCACTTGTTTGGAGAACAACCTCAGCTGCCAATTTACCCCGACCAACTCAAATTATAGCTCGTACCTTGGCACTCTACTAAATTACGGTTGCAGCTTGATTGGCCAGGCAGGTGGTAGTTGCAACGCTATCGCTGGCAACGGGACGACAGGACAGTACGGTGCTGTTTCTGGATGTGACCCCAGTAAGTCTCCCTTGTTCTCCTTGTGGGCCGAATATTCATGGCTCCCGCAGCGGTCATGTTGTCCTATGTCATGAGCGAATACTATCTGGCGACAAACAACAACCCACAGTCCTGCAGCTTTGGTGGAAACGGGACCGTCAACAGCAAGGCGCCGAGCAATGCGGGTGCTGCTAACACGGCTGCCTCGTCGTGTCTCGCCAGCGCCACAGGAACGTTTGTGCCTACCGCTCCAACAGGTGGCTCGGGCGGATCGTCAGGATCGGGATCTCAAGGTGGCTCCGGCTCACCCAATAGTGCATCCATGGTGCTCGCTGAGGCCAAAGTGCTGCTTGGAATGGGCGTGCTTTTTGTCGTTGGTGTTGCGAGTGGTATGTGGACCCTGGCATAGGTTAACTTGGACAAAATCGGGTTTGGAAGATGGACCTCAATGAGTCGTATGAGTATGTTATCTGGAACCTGGACTCTCCGTGGACCGTTCGGCCCATCCGTTCGATGAGGACTTTGTAGACATAACTATCCCCGTAATGTAACCATCCCACACTTAGTCTATGTTTTACTGTTGTGGAGGACGTGAGGCGCACAGGCCATCGGAGTACGAAATTGACCCTTTCCCCCTTTGGATAAACTTTGTGTTCAACATTCAGGTTTGCTACATACCACCATGGCTCCTTCTCCCCATGCAGCGGAATCAGATATTCCGCCAAAAGATCAGTGGGGCTCTTCCGACGACCAGGTCCTTGACACAATGGGCCCTGTGACCGACAGTGGACTTCCAAATGCGCCTCTGCCTTCCGAGGAGTTTGGTTCTGGACAACCAGAAGTCCCAGATCATCCTAGTGTCGACGGCAGTAATTTAGATGCGAAAAACGACTCTGCGCACGAAAAGCCAGTCAAGGTGCTTAGGTCTCTCCTTCTTGCGAACTTGTCTGTCTGTCTTGCATTGCTTGCCCACTTCTCTCGTGCAAGTTTTCTGTGTATTCCTCAGTTCCATTCACGGTGCGCTGGTATTGGCACTTGGACGCCTCTCTACTCTGGATTTGGCGACGGTCCAGTCTAATCGTTCCTATTGGCGATTGACTCTCGACACTTGATGGCCTTCGTGCTAGGCAGCCCCTTTTGCTTTCATGTTGTTATGGCTCTTTCTGTACTCTGGACTAGTGTTTACTGTGCACTACCTAGCCGAACAAAGTTTATGTTGGCGGTCTACCGGACCACACACGTCAAGAGGACCTGCAAAGCTGTTTCGGCAAAATTGGCAAGATTGTCAACATCGAATTAAAGTATGTCTCTTCGCCACGACTTCGCGAAACCGACCTTACACGTCTTTCACAGAGTTGGCTATGGATTTGTTGTGCGTATCTGTTCTGAATCTAGTCATTGACGGCCTGACATGGAATCCCACGACGATAGGAATTCGATACCCGAGAGGCTGCAGAGGAAAGTGTAGCAAAATACCACGAAGGCTTTTTCATGGGTAACAAGATCCGCGTCGAGTTGTCCCATAATCGCGGGCGTACCGCAAAGCATTCGAGTGACCCGGGAGCCTGTTTCAAGTGCGGTCAGGTAGGCCATTGGGCAAGGTAAGTCATAGACATGATTCCATATTCTTTTGCCGTTCACCAAAGTTTTTTTGGTAGAGAGTGTCCTAATCATACCGCTCAAGCGTAAGTGATTTGTCTCTTTTCGATGGGGTCAAGTCATATTGTAATTTGTAGCCATCATCGATCTGGGCCTTCAAGTGGTGCTCCCCTTATCGATCGTATACACCCTCCACGAGATTATCCGTTGCCTCCGCCGCCACCCAGAGATTACCCACCCTACCGCGACGACTTTGGCCCGGCGGGACGGTACCCACCGTCGAGGGATCGCTATGGGTTTGACTATCCTCCCCCACCCCCGCCCCCCGGTAGAGATTACAGAAGACCTCTGACCCCTCCCAGAGACTTCCGAGACTATCATGTGGGACCACCAATGCGCTCCTCTCGTGACTATGATGATTTCAGAATGAGGGGTCCTCCCCCTCCCCTGCCGCCGTCTCGATATGATCGTCCGGCTTTCTATCCACCTGAGAGAGACATGGCTGGGTATCCTCCCCGGGGCTATCCTCCGCCAAGTCCTCGTGACTATTATGACCGGTATGACAGACGCGCCCCACCCCTAGACGACAGGTATCCGCCGTATCCTCCTGTTGTAAGACCGAGAACACCTCCCAGTCACCGTCCGCCTCGCGTTCGTGACGATTACGATCGCCCACCTCGGTAAGTCCTAATCAAATGATGAAAAAAGGTGACGCTTAGCGATTTCTAGTGACTTTGGGCCTCCGCCTGAAAGCCGCGGGCGACCGTTGACTCCACCACCACACTACGCTAATTATCCTCCTCGTAGGAGCTCCGTTGAACCACCGGGCTCGCGATACCGGTGAGAATCAAATAGTCGCCTTGCTTTAGTTTTGTTTACAATGAGCTTCAGCCGACCCTCCTTGAGTCCACCGCGCTCTTCAGTACCGTACGATTCGGCCAATTACTCGGGTCCCAGTAACTATACTGGCAATGGCTATTCTAGTTCCTCTGGTGGCCCTCCAAGGGGCGGAGGTCGGGATTACCCTCCTCGTAACGGTCGTGATGCTCCAGAGGCCGGTGGCAGCTACAGGCGGCCTTGACACGCACTGGTCTAGGCGACACCACACCCCCAAAAACGACTATGGCCAGAACGATCCCTCTCGTCATCGCGGGTCTTTTCTTTCTTTGGGGTATCTGCTCTGTGTAGTCTTGCTTCGTTTATTCTCTTCTGAACTCTGACTATCTTAATCGATTCTGGCAACCGCTGGCGCTCGGCAATGTATCTCCTGAGGCTGCGCTCTAGAAGGACGCTCCAAGAACCGGGAAAAGATATCAAGCCTTGCGGGCGGAGAACTGCCAGCCTATCTGTATATACATGTGCTCGGCTTGATTTATTACTTGCTTTGTTTGGCTATCGAAAACAACATATCCTTGTCCTCGCTGGCATCGACCAAGGCACGCAGGAACCCCTGGTCGTCCTCCAGCAGCTCTTTGGGACTAGCGAACTCGACCTGTAAGAGGAGTTCCGTCAAGACCTACACACGTTACGCA